CTTGGCTGTGGCCTTGGCCCAGGGCCAGCAAGGCTTAAAGAAGGAGGCAAACTGGAGTTCTCAACACTTGCCACATATTAAATCACCCAGACAACTTAAAATGGCTGGTGCTCAGCTGAAGACCAAATGGCTCCTTAGTGGTTCCTAGTGGCTATCCGTATATTTAAAAGGCTTCCAGGTGAAGCCTGGTTGGGAACCACCTGAATTTGGAAAAGGGCTGGGGAAGCTGGCACTTTGCTGGAGCAAAGGCCAGTGGTGATCAGCATGCTTTGGTTCAGGAAATGAGAAATGGTCAGGACTCTGGGTGGGATCAGGGAGGGGGCAAGCCAGGGGTAGTGGGGTCTGGGAGGTGGGGGAAGTTTTGTGGGAGGAGGTTCATTCGGGGATGGTTGAACAGACCCGGGCAGAACATGACTGGACCCAACCTCCAGGTGTCCAACTTAATCTGAAAAGCCCTGTCCATCCACAGGACTCAGGATTCTCCAGGGCTGCCCAAGAGCAGGGAGAGGATGGCTGGGCCAGAATAGGGAGAGAGGTCCCAGTCGGCAGCCAATGGAGACCAGTGTCCCCAGGTTCTGGAAGGGGGGCTTTCGGACTCCTGACTTGGTAATCTTCTCCAGATTGATCCCAGACTAGTTGGCTTCTTCCTTCTTCTCCCCGGTAGTTCTCTGTGACTTTTCCTCCTCCTCCCCTTTCACCTGATGATTTGGTCACCTCCCCCTCCCTTTGCCTCCATTTCTCCTTCTTTTCTTTAGCCTTCCTCTTTCCCTTCAGCCACCCCTTCCCTGGGCAGTTCTGTCCTTCCTGTCCCTTGAGTTTTCGAGGCAGTTTCCCTAGTATCCTCCTCACCAACACTCTCTCCTTCCTCCATCTCCCTTTTCCTTGCTTCCTTATTTCCCCTCTTCTCTTCTGCCCTCTCCCTGTAGGGGTAGGAGTGCCCTCTTTCACTTGTCCATTTTAGGCAAATACAATCCCACTAGGTATGGAGTTGAAATGAACAAAAGAAATGCAAGAGACTTGAGACAATCTTCTAAAACTTTTTCTTCTTTCTTAACAAATTAAATCCCTTCACTCGCACCACTCTGATTTTATCTAGATCATCCCCCAAATTCGCTCAATCCTTCATCTGTTTTCTAACACGGCATACACTGGCTAGTGCTGGAAGTTGTGCTAGACTCATGATTTCATGAAATACTCACAAGACTATTTAGGGTAGGGACTCAATTTGCAGAAGAGGATACTGAGACCAAGGTCACATAGCTGGTACGTGTGGGACCCCAAGGGCCCTGCCAAGGCAAACATTTCTTCCCCTCCCTCCAACTTCACTCTGTGAAGGGGGCTGTCTCCCAGTCTAAGAGGTTCTTGGTAGGCTGGATCCAGGCTCCTGGCACAGCACAGGAGGGGCCTTTTGAATTGAGGGGCAGTGTCATTCACTGCAGGGGAGCTGTGGCCTCTACAGAGACTGAAGGAAACTTGGACTGCAAGGACATGGACACTTGCAGGGCAGAGCCTGGATCTACCTTGGCTGGGTGGTGGCCTTATGTTCTCAAACTATGTGTGTATGCTGTATTGATTTTTGTGTTTTGGTAATAGCTTTATTGAGATGTAATTCACATGTCATATAATTCACCCATTTAAAGTGTATAATTCAATGGTTTTCTCGTGTGTTTACAGATATGTGCAACCATCACCACTGTCAATTTTAGAACATTTTCATCACCTCAAAAAGAAATCTGGATCTCCCAGCCTTCTATCTCCTCAAACCCCCAGCCCTAAGCAAGCACTAATCTACTCTCTGTCTCTATGCATTTCCCTATTCTGGATACTTCATATAAATGGAATCATCACCTGTGGCTTTTGTGCCTAGCGTCTTCTATTAGCATAATGTTTCAAATTTCATCCATGTTGTAGCGTGTATCAGTACTTCATTTCTTTTTCTGACTGAAGAATATTTCATTGTATGATTAGCTCACTTTTTGTCTATCCATTCATTATTGATGGAAATTTGGATTATTTCTACCTTTTGTGTGAGCATGCCTGTGACTCCCAAACTGGTTTTCAGCCTGCAGGTCAGCAGCTTGACCAGAAGAGCGGGGAGGTTTCCTGGGAGCAGCTAGACAAGCCCAGCAAGGCTTGGGAAAGGCCACTAATGGCTATGGGTCCCCAGCTAATCAGTCACCTTCTGGAAATATTCTTTCTGATTTTGTCCAATGGGGAAGAGCCACCTGGGCTGCAGCATTGTAGGAATATAGTCTCTGAAGCAATGATTCAGAGTAGTGGCTCCTGGCTAGGTTGGGTTCAAATCCTGGCTCTACCACTTAACTAGTTGCTAACAGGCTGCTGAACCTCTCTATGCTTCAGTGTTCTCATCCATTAAGTGGGAGTAATATTAGTATCAACCTCTGGAACTGTTAAGAGGAGTAAATTAATATATTTAGAGCACTCTACACAGTGCACTTTACCTGGCACTCTGTGGGTGCCGAAGGAAAGATTTAAGTTTGTGTCATTTAAGGCTTAAAGTCAACAATACACTGTAGCCCTAATTGATCCCTCTCCTCCTCCTGCCAGGGTGCATGAAGAAATGAGGAGGTTAGCCATGCCCAACGGAGCAGCGGGAGACTGTCCAGCATGCGGGTTGTGAACCCAGATTCCAGGGCCCTCCACATTGACTACCTTAGTGCCTGTCCCAGATGGTGGGTGCAGGTGAAATGAAACTGGCTGCCAAGGCTGAGGATAGCAATTCTCCTCCCAGTTTGGCTCAACTTTCTGCTTCTCAAAAGTGGTCATTGGGTTCAGAGGACAGTGTGCTGTGAGGCCCGGGCTCGAACCCTGTCTTCCTTCATCCAACTCAGCCCTGGCACAGACACTGGGGAGCATTCTGAGTTTATCATTCCGCTCTCACACCCAAAGCCAGATCCTGCATTCTGCCCAACCTGAGAACCCCAGCCTATCCATCAGCCTTTCCTGAGGCTCAAGGAAGAACAATTCAGGGAAGAAACAACAACTCGAGCCCAAGAAAGATCTGAGTCCTCTGGCACAGAGACAAAGGGAGATTGTAAAGGCTGTGTGTGTGTGTGTGTGTGTGTGTGTGTGTGTGTGTGTGTGGCGGGGGGTAGGGGGGCACACGGGAGGGGGCAGGCATCGTTTCCCAGGCATTTCTTATGAGGTGCTCCTGGAAAGCTCAGGGTGCAGCTGGGATCACTGGGGCTGTGTGTGTGTGTGTGTGTGTGTGTGTGTGTGTGTGTGTGTGTGTGGCGGGGGGTAGGGGGGCACACGGGAGGGGGCAGGCATCGTTTCCCAGGCATTTCTTATGAGGTGCTCCTGGAAAGCTCAGGGTGCAGCTGGGATCACTGGGACTGCTCCCTGGGCTGTCTTTGGGGAGGGGCCTGGAGGCCAGCATGGGTGGCCTTTGTTATATCCTTTCATACCTTTTGAATTTGTGGTGTGTTAAAAGTCAAATGAATCCAGTAAAACACAAGTTTAGAATAGGCTTGAAGCATTTTGTTCCTGTGTTTCCATCAAGGGCAGTGGCTCACCTTTCCTTCCTGACTGTGCCTCAGAGAGCTTGCCTACAGTGACTTACCACTTAGGCAGGCCTCCTTTTTGTCTTTGCCACTAGTCACTACAAAGTAGGCAGGTCTCCTTTTCATCTTTCTGTCATTTTTGTCTTTGCCATGCCTTCTGTGCAAGCCAGAACACTGTACATTCAAGGTCACTAACCACCTGTCTCCCATATCCCCAGTGCTGGGAAAACCTCAGATTTGGGGCCCTGTTGCCTCAAGCAATAATCATTTATGATCAGTGATCCATGTCACCTGCAAGCGGGTTCCAGACTGAGCTTGGCAATCAGAAGCCAGGCATCTCTGGCACCTCTTCCTAGGTCACCCTCTCTCTGAAGTTTCCCCTTCACCATGTGAGCCAGAGTCCCTGCTCTCAGGCGCAGGTGGGTCCCAACACAAGCACCCAAGGCCGGTCTGCTGAGTGGCCTATTGTCCATGGTGAATAGGAGAGGTTACCCAGGGACTGGGTCTCTAGGAGCCACCGGCCTGGTGGGAACAGGCTAGAGGAATTCTCTATCTCTTATCCCTGGGGGAGGACTTTCAAAATGCAAGAGTGAGGAGCTGAATGACAGCCCGTGTTGGGTGACTGTCGGGCCTCTGTGGGAAGGCACTGGCCACTATCCAAGGCCTTCTAGAGGTGGCAGCCTAGGCGGCCTGTCCTCTTACTCCAAGATGCTGCTAGGAATTTATATCTACTGGAAACAGTTCTCCAGGAGCTGTTGCACATTCTTGGAAATATTTGTCATCTAACAAATGTTTATTGAGTTCCTACAATATGCCAAGCACCGGGGGACAGCTGTGAGCCAAACAGACTCGAATAGTCGGTCGTGCAGACTACATCACTGGAGATGGCCAGCCTTCCTGGGACAGTCAGAGTGATACACGATCAAGGCTGGAACCCCGGAGTTTGATCTCTGGGGTTGGGAGGAGCATTCTACCTGGTTGTTTACACGTTGCACATGCCAGGGGATAAGTTTAAGTATCCGATTTTTTTTTCCTGGCTAGAAAACAGCCTCTGAAAATAACTCCCCTTAAAGAAATGCTTTTTACGAAGCCTCCATAGTCCTGGAATAATGAAACACCAAGGAGGGAAGTATAGTGCCTTGGGTTGGTTTCAGTTCGCTTACAAAACAAAACAACCCCAAACAAACATGCAGACCCCCACCTTGGAAGTGTTTCTGTGTGTGTGTGTGTGTGTGTGTGTGTGTGTGTGACCTGTTTGTAAATGCGTGTGGTGTGAACTAATTTCATCAACTTTTAAAATAATGACTTTTACTTTTTTTTTTTTTTTTTAAAGAGACAAGGTCTCACTCTATAGCCCATGCTGGTTGCAGTGACAGGATCACGGCTCACTAAAACCTTCTACTCCTAAGCACAAGCTATCCTCCGGCCTCAGCCTCCTGAGTAGCTAGGACCACAGGCGGGAGCCACCACACTCGCCTAATTTTTTATTTTTCTTTTTTGCAGAGACAAGAGTCTCGTTAAGTTGCCCAGGCTGGTCTGGAACTTCTGGCCTCTACGGCTTCTCTCCCCTTGGCTTCCTAAAGTGTTGGGATTACAGGTGTGAGCCACTCCGCTCTGCCTTTTTTTTTTTTTTTCTTTTAAAAGGAAAACTTGCATCTGAGAAAAAAATTCTAAGCAGCACAAAAGGTTAGGAAATGACTAGTAGGTGCCTCTCCAGAATCTCAGCCCCATCCCCAGAAGCTCAAGCTATCGCCCCATCTCACTCTCCGGCTGTAAAAATGAGATTAAGTCGCCCTGTCCGCGGTTCTTCCTGCCTGCCCGCCTCGCCCGCGCCTGGCGCTGGCTCCTGGCTGCGGGTGTCCTGCTTACCTTTCCTGCGCCCTCATTGCGCGCCAGCCACGTGGGAGAGTGCTTGCTTCCCCACAGCGTTGCCAGCTTAGCGTCTTACCGAAGATTTTGATCTTTGTGCGTCCGACGGGTTTCTTAAAGAAAGACATGAATTATGCTAGGGAAACAAGAGGAAGCAAGAGAACGGCAGAATGTTTGAGGCAAGAGACGGTTTGCTTCGGTCCTAGGGCGTGCGAGCGCAGGCCGGGGACAATGCGGGGCAGTCGTGGCCTGAGCTTCAGATCACACCTGCACTCAGAGGTGGGAAGCCCTCATCCCAGTCACAGCCGCGCGAGCCGAGGTGGCGGGGCAGCGGGGTCAGCGGGAATTAGCGCGCCGGGGCCGGGGCGAGGGATTGCCGCGGGGCGAGAGTTCGGGACGGGATTAGCGGGTTCAAAAGCAGGTCAGGGAGAGCTAAGCAAGGCGACGAGGTCCGCGCGAGGTCAAGGTCCCCGAGAGAGGCGGGTTCCGGGCCGGGCTCGGGAAAGGCAGCGGGCATTGGGATAGCTGGGAGGCTGCATCGGGAAGACCGAGTTCCGAGCGCGTGGAGCACTTCGCCAGCTTTCGAGCGTAGGCCGCGTCCTCTAACGGCCGCGGGGCGAGGACACCTCTGACCATGGGCCTTGGTCGGGAGGAATGAGCGAGCGGCGAGGTGAACCGGGTACGAGTGCGCGGCAACTTCAATGAATGTATCGGAGGTCATGAGGCGCGCGCGCCGCATATCTGCAGAACCGGGTTTATCTATTCGTCTTTTACATCGTAATCCTGTTTCCTTTTATTTTTATAACACTTTTTCTTTCTGGCAAGGGAGATCATCTCTTAGGCAAACAAACAGTCAAAAAAAAAAAAAAAAAAAAAAAAACTGCACTGAACAATGCAAAGAAATGTTCTTGCCAAGAGTCAGTCTCTTCCCCGTCCCCTGGCACCTGTGGCCTCCCTGCAGAACAGATCCCAAAGTGTGACACCTTCTGTGTAAAAATCATCGCAACTCACACTCCACCCTTCTGTGCGTCCTGCACATGCACCAAGGGAGAGCTGGAAGGACAGCCGAGGGACACATGCTCTTCCAAGAAAGAAATAGGTTTTAGGGGGGTGTGTGTGTGTCTGAGCCCCTGACTTGAAGTTACTGGAGAAGGTATTCGTATATTATTTGGGTTCTCTCTTAAGGAGCTTTTGGGTTCTCTCTTAAAGAGCTCATGGGGAACACACGTGGAGGTACTGTGGGATGCGAAGTGGGCGCCTCACTAGGAAACCCTGGCCTTGGTGGATGATCTAAGAAAAACAAACAAACAAACAAACACCCAGACGGACGGATACATGGGCACTTTCGGAATCGCTGGGTGCAGGCCGCCCGGCCGCCGTCGCCATCTCCGCCGTTCACTACTCCAGGCACCTGCCTCTCTTCCCCAGCCACGGCCTTTAGGGCTCTCTTCCCGTAGATGTCGCCTGGAGAAATGGAGCCCGGATGCTCAGGCGCGCGGCGTGGTATCCCCAAGCCCTGGACTTCTGTTTTGGCTCTGGTTGATTTTCCACGGAGAACCGAAGAGTCCGCTCCGCAGGGCGAAGTTTGCAAGTCCTTGGGGGAGCTGGTGACGGGGGCTGGGGCGTGAGTGTGAAAGGGCAGGACGGGAAGGAGAGGGGAGAGGAAAGCCGGCTGAGAAGTGGGGGAAGCCGCGGAAGCCAGGCGCGCGGGAGCTGAGGCGCGGAAGCCGGGTCGGGGGAGGGGCGGGCTGGGACCAAGGCGAGGGGCGGGGCCGGAAACGGGCGGGCGCGCGCCCCAGACAAAGCGCGGCCGGGTAGGCTAGGGCTAGCTGCGCTCCCCGCAAGGTCTCCCGAACCTTCGCTTGGCCGTCGGGCTGGTTGTGGTGGGGACGCGCAGGTTGCTGGTGGGGAAGCCAGTCCAAAGGGATCGATCGCTGGAAAAACCCCACGCATTCAACCCAAACGGCCTTCTGCTCCGCGTAACCTCCGGGTGGCTGGAGCAGAGCCTAAGGGTCAAGGGCGAGGGGCCCCTTCCCTGCCCTTTCGTTCAGGTGGACTCCGTGGCCGTCGTTTTGTTCTGAGACACCCCCCCCCCCGGGAATTCCACTGCCGGGCCCCAACCCTGACTGGCAGGTCAAGGTGCAGAACGTCCCTCCATTAGAAATGCATTCCCCTGGCTGAAAATGTCTTCTTTTTCTCAGTTTTACAATCATGTACACAATGTTAAGACTCTTCTTGATGCCACTTCCAACCTCTGTGCACTGTTCGCATGGCTAGAAGAGCAATCACAGAACTGAAAGCAGGGAAAATATCCCCGTGCTACCCCTAAAAGACTCAGTCTTTTTTTTTTTTTTTAAATGTGCGTCCTTATTTTGCATAATGTTAGTCCTGGTGAACATGTAATTTTGTATTCAGTCTTTTCTACTTGAGGCCGCACTTTAGTATTTGCTATGTGCTATGATCCTCATAAACATACTTTTCAATGGCCGAGTAATGCTGTATTATGTTACTGTGTAATTTACTTGAACGTTCAATTACTTGATATTCTGCCGTGTCTAGTTTTTCTGTATGAAAATAATACACAACCCAAAACCTTCTTGTATATAGTTTTCTCCTTTGGGGAGGATTATTTCTTCAAGATTCTTACTGTTTCAGCAGGAAGGGGACATTTTCACTACTCTTAATAAATTGCCCAACTGCTTCCCAAAGCAATTTACGCAGGCGTTTATTTTCGGGTCGTTATGGGCGTAGTGCTACCGGTCAGAAATGTCCAGACTAAATCAGTCCCACCCTTACAGCACTTTCCCTGGACCCCAAGCCTCTGAGAGGCAGGCCCCCGGAGCAAAAATCACCGCGCAAAGTGGGGAGCACCGTGGGCGGAGGGAAGAAGAGGCAATGGGAGCCGGGCAGTGGGTAAGGGTTGTGAGGGTTCTTTCCCCAGCCTGGAGAAAGTCAGGAAAGGCTTTACCTGACTTAGAGAGGAAGTGAAGATGACTCCCGAGCACAGCCCCAGGCAGGGGTTTGTCAAGTAGAAATGGAGGGAGAAACATAGAAACCTTCGCCTGCGCAGGCTACAAAGTTTGTTGGGTTTGGAGAGATAAGTAGTGGTTATACGCTGCACAGGATCATAAATGTGGGTGGGAAAGTCCAGGAAAGTGGGACTCTCGCTAACCAGTCCAAGGAAATTGGAAACAGACAGCCTGGTTATTGTGCATTTGCATTATTTTAAACGGTTTTGCTGTATTAATAGAGGCGTGATTACATAATCATTATTGCTGTACATTATGTTTTTCTGAAAAGTAGTTTACATTTCCTTATTTAAAAATACTAATTGTCTTGCCTTCCGACTCTTCAGGCTGAAGAAAGAAATACGAATTGTCCTTTAAGAAACAATTCCTTCTCTAAACCACAGTAATATGTGTTTTAAACCATAAAAGCAATACATATATTATTTGATTTTTTTCATAAGAATATATTCACATAAGATTAATTTAAAAATTGTAAGTGAACACAAAGTCATAAAATAATCAGACAACTGTATTCAAGTCCTTCCTTAATCCTCTCTCCAGAAGTAGCATGGCTTATAGTTACTGTGTTGCATATGTGAACTATTTAGATGCTTTTTGCAACAATGATTCATATTCTCTGCCACTCTGTAATTGCCTTAAAAAAAATAGCTCATAGTTTTGTTACATGTTAATGGACGTAGCTCTGCCTCATTCCTAACAGCTGGCTTGGTAACATTATATGGATGTTCCACCATTTTTTGTCTGTATTTAAAAATTACATATTTAATTATTGGTTGTATTTTATGTAATAAATGTTCAAACAATGCCAAAAGATAAAGATAAAACACGAAACCTCCCTTCATGCTTTTCCCTACTTCTACCCTATCTCATTCCTCAGAAGTGTGAGGTGAGAAATTTGGGGGTTGTTTCGGCAGCTCCCCTCCCTAGTGTGTTTTAAAAATTGTGTATGCATGGTGGCTCACGCACTTTATGTAGGCATGGTGGCTCACGCTCTTTGGTAGGCCGAGGTGGCTCGAAGTGGGCGGATCACCTGAGGTCAGTAGATCACCAACCTTGCCAACATGGTGAAACCCCATCTCTACAAAAAATAGAAAAATTAGCTGGGCGTGGTGGCGAGCGCCTGTAATCCCAGTTACTCCGGAGGCTGAGGCTGGAGAATCGTTTGAACCCGGGAGTCGGACGTTGCAGCCGAAATCGCACCATTGCACTCCAGCCTGGGCGACAAGAGGGAAGCTCCGTCTCAAAACAAAACAAAACAAAACAAAACAAAAGTTGTGTGTTTAATCTCTTTAAACTGAGGACTCACTCACATTCTCCTCCTCCCTGAATTTCACAGCCCCCTCCTCCAAACCACTGGGTTGTATTTAAGCTTTATTTTTTGGTGTGTGTTTTTATTTTATGTACATGGTATTGAGTTTTATATTTCATTTTATTTTTAATATTATTTAAAAGTTTTAAAAACAATTTCAAATGTATGGGAAAGTTGCAAGAATATTACAAAACTCTAGTATAGCTGTCTTTTAGCTGCAATTGCATTATTCTCTTATAAAATTATTTTTATGGAAGCATTTGAGGATAAGTTGCAGACACCATGCCCTTTTACTATTAAATACTTTAGCATGCATTTCCTGAGGGCCATCACCTACATGCCACATTGCAATGATTAAAATTAGGAATCTTAACGTTGATGTATTATATAATCTTCAGATCTTATTCAAATTTCATCAATTGTCCCAATAATGTCCTTTATATTATTATTTTTTTTCTGGTCCAAGATTTAATTCAATATTATCCATTGCATTTAGTTTTTAAGTTCTTGTTAGTCTCCTTTACCTGGAAACAGTTTATCAACCTTCTTTGTACATGTTTGTAACAGACATTTTGGAAGAATATGGACCAGTTAGTTAGATTGTATATATTAGAGTTCCTTGTTTTATTTCAAACAGTCTGAAACTTACAGAGAAATTGTCAAGAGCATTACAAAGAAACCCCCTCCTCCACTTACCTGTTTGAACTCAAGTTGCTGACATAATGCTTTAGTTTGTATTTCTAACAAACAAGGACATTCTCCCTTGAAATCACAATGCAATCGTCAAAATTAGAAAATTAATGCTATCACAGTTGACTCCTCAGACCCCATGAAACCTTGTTAGTGGTTCTGGAAATGTCCTTCATTATCAAAAGGATGCAGTAAAGATGTATTGCAGTCAGTTGTCATGTCTCTTTAGTCCCCTTCCATCTGTGACAGTTAGTTCCAGTCTTTGTTTGACTTTCACGGCCAGTTATTGTGTAGAATGCCCCTCAGTGTGGGTTTATCTCATGTTTCCTCACAATTCAATTCAGACTATGCATCTTTGGCAGGAATATCACAGAGATGATATTGAATTCTTCTCATTGTGTCGTCCTAACAGATGGTACATGATTTTGATGTATCCTTTACTGCGATGTTAACTTTGATCATTTGAGTAAGGAGTAAGTTTCTCCCTGTAAGGTTATTATTTTTCCCTTTGCATTTAATAAGTATTTCGCAGGGAGGAACTTTTAGACTATGTATATATCCTGCCCCTCATCAAACTCTTAGTGCATTGTTTAGATCAATATCAACAAATGGATTCCTATTGTGTTCAGTGGGCTATATTTTGTTACTATATTATTTATTTAATTTGCAAATTGTCCCAAATGTGAAAGTCTGTTCAAGCTAGCTTCTTTGTCCTTTTGTGGGGGTAATAGCTTTATTGAGATTTCATTCATATATCATACACTTCACCTATTTAAAATACACTGTGTAATGTTTTTTAATGTGTATATTCACAGAGTTGTACAACCACTCCTATAGTCAATTTTAGAACATTTTCGTCATCCCCAAAAGAAATCCCATTCCCATTAGCTTTCACCTCCCAATTCTCCCATCCCTGCCAGCCCTAGGTGAATATCTACATTGTGTCTCTATAGATTTGCTTATTCTGAACATTTCATATAAATGGAATTGTTCAATATGTGGTCTTTTGTGACTGACTTCTTTCCCTTACCATAATATTTTCAAGGTTCATCCATATTGTAGCATAAATCAGTACTTCATTTTTATTTTATTTTATTATTTTATTATTATCACTATTATTATTGTTATTATTTTTGAGACGGAGTCTTGCTCTGCTGCCCAGGCTGGAGTGCAGTAGCGCGATCTTGGTTCACTGGAAGCTCCGCCTCCCGGGTTCACACCGTTCTCCTGCCTCAGCCTCCAGAGTAGCTGGGACTACAGAAGCCCGTCTCCATGCCTGGCTAATTTTTGTATTTTTAGTAGAGATGGAGTTTCACCGTATTAGCCAGGATGGTCTCGATCTCCTGACCTCATGATCCACCCGCCTTGGCCTCCCAAAGTGTTGGGATTACAGGTGTGAGCCACTGTGCCTGGCCAGTACTTCATTTTTAATGGACGAATAATTCCATTGTATGGATATACCGCATTTTGTTTATCTATTCGTCAGTTGATGGACATTTGGGTTGTTTCCACTTTTTGGCTATTATGAATATATACTGCCGTGAATGTTCTTGGAGAAGTTTTTGGTGGACATATATTTTCATATCTCTTGGGTATACACCTAGGAGTGAAATTGCTAGGTCAAACAACTAATTCTATGTTTAGCTTTTTGAGGAACTACCACACTGTCTTCCAAAGTGGCTGTCCCATTTTACAT